GAAAGAACAAGTGGAAGAAAACAAGTTATTAAGGAAGTAGAAAGAAATAGTAGAAAAAAGACTGACGATTTCTAGCCTAGGCACAGATAAATCTAGTTTAAACAAAATTAACCCTCCTAGACATTGTTAAAGTAAACTTCTTCCCCCTCCGATTTTCCCTCCTCCTCCTCCTCCTCCTCCTCCTCCTTCTCTTCTAATTTCCCTAAGGCCTGAGAACTTTGAATTTCATGTCCTAGCCAAGAGAATAGCAGTTGGGTGGGAGAGAACTGAAAGACCTTGTTGTAATTAGATTTGCAGTCTAGAGGAAATAGAATAAAATGTCTAGTGTTTAGCCATGGGTCAGAACTGATGTCAGTCCTATCCTGCCTGCCGCTAACATTTGTTTGTCTGTTTGTTTGCTTGTTTGTTTGTTTGTGTTGGAGTTCACTCTGTGTCCAGGCTGTAGTGCAGTGGCTCACTCATGGCCACTGCAGCCTCAACCGGCTGGGCTCAGGTGATTCTTCCACCTCAGCCTTCCAAGTAGCTGAGACCACAAGCATGCAATTTTTTGATTTATTGTAGGGATGAAGTCTCACCAAGTTGCCCAGGCCAGTCTTGAACCCATGGGCTCAGGCAATCCTCTCACCTCAGCCTCCCAAAGTGCTGGCATTATAGGCGTGAGCCACTGTGCCCAGTTAACATTTGTTTTTTAAGATGGGGGTCTCACTATGTTCCCCAGCTGGTCTTGAACTCCCAGGTTCACGGGATCCTCGGGCCTCATCCTCCCAAGTAGCTGGGATTACCAGTATGTGCCACCATGCCCAGCTCCTATCTGTACTAATAACATGCTGGGGGTGATTTGTCCACCTGGCTTCTTCTGAATAAACTCGTGAAGCTGAGAGAGCCCAGGTAGTCAAGCCACAGTCCGAGGAGAGTCCCGGCATTACAGGCCTGTCAATTCATTTCTTTCCCTAGGGAGAATGCCCCAATCACTAGATCATTACAGATATGGATACTGGGTGCATCTTTTCTCTTCTTTGGTTCACTCAAAAATTGCACAGTTTTCTCCTTTGGGATCTTCAAGTAGAGAGTGTGAATTGATCAGTCTATATGAGTGAGTTAGCGGGGGTTAGGATCAAACGCTTCCCCCTTGTCCTTCATTCCTCTGGCTATTTTCAGGACTACCCGAAGGGAGACGCAGATGGCAAGTTCCTCTAGTAGGATTCGTAAGTCATAACAGTCCACACACAAAAGCGGTTGACGTAGAATCAACCAGAATCAACCAGTGCAATAGACATTCTTTGAAGTCTCCTACGGTGTTTCACCCTCTGCAGGAAAATAATTCACAAAAACACCAGGCCTTGAGCAGTATGCTTTATTCTCTTTTCCTCTGCCATCAGTATTCCAGTCACTAGATATGCTGTTCCCATCCCTGGGATCTCCGGTTGGGAGAAATCTGGGCCCTATTCCACGACGCTCTCAACGGTAGAACAGAAGCACAGTTGCCTCCGTTATCTTCCGGCTGTTGCTGAAACTGACATGAGTTCCATATCCATTCCAGTCAAAGCTAGAAAAATCCCCACACTGCAAGGGATTGGCCTCAGGGAAGAATCCTCCTCCGCCAATGCAGTGCTAGGGCACAAGGAAAGGAGGAAGTGGCAGTGAGAAGACTGCTACTGGGGCCAGTGACAGCTTTTTTGGTTTTTGTCTTTGACTTTTGTACAGACAGGGTCTCTCTCTGTTGCCCAGGCTGGAGTACAATAGTCTGATTATAACTCACTGTAACCTCAAGCAATCCTCTCACCTCAATCTCCTGAAAAGCTGTGACTACAGACTTATGCCACCATGCCCTACTAAGTTTTTGGTTTTGGGGTGGTTTGTTTTTTGTTTGTTTGTAGAAACAGTCTTGCTATGTTGCCCAGGATATTCTCAAACTCCTGACCTCAAGCGATCCCTCCAAAGTGCTGGGATCTTAATGACATCTTAATGGCCAAAGTCACTGGAATCTTTGGTCGTAACCCGACGTTCCACTGGCAGGGTTGATATATTCCTCCCATAAAAACTTCACTGTTTTTAGCTTTAGTGACATCATTGTCTCCCCGTGACTTTTCTTTTTTTGTGTGTGTGTTTTGTTTTTTGTTTTTCTTTTGAGTTGGAGTCTTACTCTGTCACCTGGGCAACTTGGCGAGACCTCATCTCTACAATAAATCAAAAAATTACCCCATGACTTTTCTTCAACGTGTCTAAACATTCATTTAAGGCAGGAGGATTGAGGCCAGGAGTTCAAGACTAGTCTGAAGACTAACAAGACCCTATCTCTTAAAAGAAAAAAAGAAACGAAAAGAAAACAGGGCATGGTGGCATATGCCTGTAGTCCTAGCATGGGATGGTCACCCTCCTCACACACACACACACACACACAAACACACACACACACACACTCATACCAAGTTGTACCACACTCAACACATACATACACACCCTGACAAACTTGACCCTACTCACAAACCCCTTTTGTCCCACAAAGACTCACGTGCTCAGTGTTGCATCCCGTGACCCTCATTCCAGCACACAAGGCGTTGGCTGCTCTCTCATTATTAAATACCCTGAACTGAACAAATCCGGCAGTGAATTCCTCTGAAAACAAGAGGCAGAAAATAGCATTCAAGGAAGATGCTAGAAATGACTTTTTTTAGTTCAGCCCAGAGATTTCCAAAACCAAAACTCAAGCTATAGCCCAATCCTCTACCACACTGGTAGAGCCTGGCACCTCAGTGGCAAATGACTGATGCACCCCGGCTCCAAACTTAGTTGAGAGGGTCCTTTTCCCAACCCAGAGACCGAGAGCTGGTCCTCAGAGAGGGCCCCTCATCTGCCAGAGGCTTGAGAAGAGAAATTCAGCACGCAGAAAGATCCCCCTGACCACAGGCAAAGTGGCAGGAATTAGCAGATGTATTCACTCTATTCCTGCTTTTTTTTTTTTTTGGTTCTCCTTTATTTTAAAATCTTAGATCCTGCCAGGAGCAGTGGCTCACACCTATAATCCCAGCACTTTGGGAGGCCGTGGTGAGAGGATTGCCTGAGCCCACAAGTTGGAGACCAGCCTGGGCAACTTGGCAAGACCTCATCTCTACAATAAATCAAAAAATTAGCCAGGCATGGTGGTGCATGCCTGTAGTTCCAGCTACTTGGAAGACTGAGGTGAAAGGATCACCTGAGCCATTTGGTCGAGGCTGCGGTGGCTCGTGAGCATGCCACTGCACTCCAGCCTGGACAACAGAGTTAGACTCCTATTCAAAAAAAAAATCTCAGATCCCAAAGGTAAGTAATAAAAGCTCTGAATTGTATAGCATAGCCTCAATTTCTGTGAAGGATATGGTGCTACCAACTTTACATTCACACAAAATAGAAAATGTTTTTGTTTTGTTTTGTTTTTTGTGTTGTTGTGCCTTGTGCACATGGACCTGGCCCAGGCCTAACAGGTTACTGGCGGGCTGAGAGTGAGAATAAAGGGTCTGGAGTCCAAATGCTGACCCTCCCACATATGCCGTGATCCCCACACTGAACCACTCAGTGTATCAGTCTCCTAAAATGGGGAATAACAATTCAGACCTCAAAGGCATAAATCAAGTGAGGCAACACAAATAACGGTCACCGAAGAGAACCAGACCGTGGTTAGTGACAAGTAACTGTGACCTGGCATAACTGAACATCTCCCCTTTCTCACTAAGAATTCAGAGATCATCAGAAGCTCACTCTGGCCAAGGGGTGAGTAATAAGATGCCGTTTTCTGGGCGTCACCAAAATCATAGACCACAGGGATGGCTGGGCCGTTGTCAGTCCAACACTTTCCTTCTCCGTATTTCACTGGATATTTCTACAAGGAACAAAAAATGTCACCAAGTAAAGGACTACAGCTCTACCCTTACAAGCATCTCCCAGGGAGGCTGCCATTCCCCGGGGCAGAAACAATGCTTTCTCAGTAACTGAGATTCTTTTTTCTTTAAGCAGGATTTATTGAGAGGACAGAAAAGCTCCCAAAGTGGGAAGGGACCCAAGGGGATTGCCCAAGATTATTTCAAAACCAGTTAAAGTAAGAATCTTTGACCACCGCCAGTCACTACGGAGTTGTGCTTCCCCCATAGCCCGGTCACTTCTCGCTCAGTCTCTTTCTCTCACTTTTTCGCTGTCTCCCTGTCTCCGTCTCTCTCGTTCTTGCTTTCTCTGTCTCTGTCTCTCTTGCTCTCTCTCATGCTCTCTCTGTCTCTGTGTCTCTGTCTCTCTCACTTTTTCTCTCTATCTCTTTGGTCTCTCTGTCTCTATTTCTGTCTCTCGCTCTCTCTAGCTGTCTCTGTCTCTCTCACTCTGTCTCTATCTCTCTGTTTCTCTCCCTCTCTGTCTTTGTCTCAGTCAGACTCTCTCTGATTCTCTCTCGCGCTCGCTTTTGCGTTCTCTGTCTCTATAGCTCTCTCTCACTCTCACTCTGTATCTGTCTCTGAATGTCTCTCTCGCTTTCTCTGTCTCTGTCTCTGTTTCTTTCTCACTCTCGCTGTCTGTCCCTATCTCTCTGTTTATAGCTCTTGCTCTCTCTTTCTGTCTCTCTCTCCACTCTCTTCCTCTCTCTCCACTATTCCTGCCCCTGACTCTTCTCTTTGCCATAGGTCGCCCTCTTACCTGGCTCAGAATTCCTGAGAAAAGCAGGGCAGAAGCCAATAGCAATTCAAGGTTAGGAGAACATAAACGTCACTGTCCAACCCTGAACACTTGCCTCTCTGTCCACTCATGAACCCCAGCCCCAGCTAGCAGCCTGTGTACCTGGTAGAGGCCAAGCAGATTGTGTCCCAGTTTCTGGAAGAAGCCGGTGTTGGTGTGGTACCTCAGCAGAGAGCTGTTTCTCCACTGCTGCAGGGGGGTCCTGTTGGGCACATGCTAGATGCCCAGGTCCTCAGCCTGGATGTCGTAGTAGCCCGGGTTCTGAAAAGCAGCAGACACTGAGCCTGACCACACCATGAGGTCCCAGAAGGCCAAAGGCCTGCAGATGCAGCCTCCGCTGAGTTGAGCTCTGGGCTCTAGGTGGGCAGGGGGTCAGCCATGCTCAGACACCCCCACTTCCAGTGGGCGACCTCCCCCGACCGCCCAAGTCCTCCCAGCCTTGCGGGGATAAA